AAACAACCCCTAAGTAAGTTCAATTGTAAAGTTCTTCTAGTTGGATAAAAAATATCGGTCTTGTTAGGGGTACATCACCCCTTACACAAGGGGTGACATAATGGTCAAATGGCGCCTCCTCATTGGAGGGGCACCTCGGCCCACATGTGGGGCATCGACGTCCCTCCAATGAGAAAGCGTCACTTGGCCATTATGTCACCCCTTGTGTAAAGGGTGATGTACAAGAAGCATTATTCAAAAAATATTCAAATATGTTCAAAAACAATCTCTTATTTTTTTGAAGTTGTTTTTTAACTTTCAAAAATCCTAACAAATGAATCCTTAAAATACTAAAAAACAATACTATAATTTAAAACACGAAAATGTATAACAAGGTATTAAGCCCTTGTTTGGTAGGAATTAAAATTAGATTTTAAGTAAATTTTAATAAAAATTGATGAATATATAGTTGAAAAGTTGTGAATCTCATTAAATATGTGGTTTAAATTAAATGTTAACTCTCGATTTAAATTAAAATCAAGATCTGGTTTATATAAATGTATTTATGTATATAAGTTTTCTATACAATTTTTTATCAAATTCTCTTCTTGTCAAGGGGTAAATAAGACATTTCAATCATCCCCCATTTTTTTCTCTTGGTGTAGACATTTCTATCCACACGAGACAAAATTGAGCCATTCAAATAAATTGCAGCAGAACAAGTCAATGAAGTAATTTATCCCATTATTCCAAGTCTAAAACTTTCTAATAATGTAAATAAAATATTATTCAAGTGTTACTTGAAATAATAGAGACCATTCATGTAGCACGTGATCATGTCTGCACTACGATTAGAAAATCCTTAATCCAACCGTTTTCCTATTGACACGTCATCGAAACAGTGATGTGCCATTGTCTCCCAACCCCAACCACCCCCATACGTACCAACAATTTCTGTAGTCACATACGACAGTGACACTAAGATACTCCCACGCGAATATGTGAAAAATGGCATGATATTCAGATATTTCGTACACCAAGTGACCAAGTCACGTGACCTCTGTGTATATTTTCGTTGTTTTTAAAAAATATATTTTTTTTTAAATTTTAATTACACACTTTTTAATAAAATAATATAATATGCAAACTCAAAATATTTTTTTATTTTTTAATCACAAATTCTCCATCAAAATACTATTTAAAAATATATTTT